ATCCTTAAATCAATTCCCAGCACAATCTTATTGATTGTATTCGATCAGGAGGAATCTGGAACTGCCGAGAGGCCCAGCAGGAAGAGATCGCAGAGTATCCAGCGGCGAAAGATCTACTGAGGTCTTGCCTGGCGAGCAGCCACCAGGAAGTCGTCGACTGTGCACCTACCGAGCCCAGAACTTGTCGCGATATGCATAAACCAATTCAAAAACCTTCGGTTTGCAAATCAGGCTGCGTTTGTAAGACTGGCTACGTTTTAAGCGAGCTAGGAGGCGAATGCATTAAAGAGGAATCTTGTCCTTGCCATCACGGTGGCCAGAGTTACGCCGAGGCATCTGTCATCCAAAACGAATGCAACAGTTGCGAGTGCCTTAACGGGACTTGGAAGTGCACCGATAGAATTTGCGGAGGTAACAGGAAACCTTCGAATACTGCTTGTCATTTAATAATACATTATCTAAATTCTTCTTGTTTCTCATTTTCAGGAATCTGTTCAGCTTGGGGCGACTCTCACTATAAAACTTTCGATGGGAAGATCTACGACTTTCAAGGAATGTGTGATTACGTCCTGGTGAAAGGTTCCCTGAGCTTGCAGGACTGCTTCGATGTGTCCATTCAGAACGTACCCTGCGGCACGACTGGAGTAGCGTGTTCCAAATCAGTGTCTCTTACCATTGGGAACGATAAGAATCTGGAAACGATTGTTCTAACCAGAGGGAAGGAACTGCCTTTAGATAATTTCAAGAGAATCTCCATGAGGACAGCTGGCTTGTTTGTATTCGTCGATGTGCCTGACATGGGGCTCACTTTGCAATGGGACAGAGGTATTTATATTTAGAATTAATTGTTTAATTATAAACGCTGTCTACGATTAATAATAATTCTTCCTGGCTCTTTTATAGGGACCAGAGTGTATGTAAGGCTCGATCCCAAATGGAAGGCCCGCACGAAGGGACTCTGCGGGGATTACAACGACAACAGCGAAGATGATTTTAAAACACCTTCAGGTGGAATTTCTGAAGCGTCGGCAAATCTCTTTGGCGACTCTTGGAAGAGAAACGAGTTCTGTCCCGAGCCGAGGGATGTCAAAGATCCATGCGAACAGCACCCGGAGAAGAACCTCTGGGCCACGGAAAAGTGTAGCATTTTGAAGTCGTCGATCTTCCACCCTTGCCACTCCGAAGTCGAAGTGGAGAGCTATTTACACAATTGCATCTTCGATACTTGCGGCTGCGACTCGGGTACAGTTTCAATCAAATCTTCTCAACCGGATTTGATGTATTTATATCACTTTCTATGTAATTTCAAATATTGCAGGAGGTGACTGCGAGTGCCTATGCACCGCTTTGGCGGCGTACGCCCAAGAGTGCAACGCGAAGGGGATTCCAATCAAGTGGCGCAGCCAGGAACTCTGTCCCATCCAGTGCGACGAGAGCTGCAGCTCGTACTCTCCCTGCATTTCTACTTGTCCTCGAGAAACGTGCGACAATCTTATGACCCTGAAGGAGAAATCTCACCGATGTTCTGAAGACGCTTGCGTCGAGGGTTGCTCCGTGAAATCTTGCCCTGAAAGTCAAGTGTATATCAATGACAACTACACGCAGTGCGTACCCAGGGAGACTTGCAAGACGCCTTGTACAGAAATGGATGGCGTGATTTATTATGAAGGGGACAGAGTGAAGCAAGACGACTGCCAGAGCTGCTTCTGCAGCCGTGGAAAAGTAGTATGCAAAGGAGAGCCATGCAGCACCACTACAGAAGTGATTTCTACACCGTCGGGCGAGGAGCCGCTGAAGTGCGTGGATGGCTGGACCGCTTGGATAAATCAAGACCCAGCCATCAAGGGAAAGAAATTTAAAGATATCGAACCACTGCCGACGACCTTAATCTTGGGGAATATCAAAGGATCTCCCGTTTGCGATACGATATACATGATTGATATAAAATGCAGGTCTGTAAACGGTCATATGATGCCGAAGGAAACGGGTTTGGATGTAGAATGCAGTTTGGAGCGTGGTCTCTATTGCCAGTCTCAGCCTAATCTACCTTGCATCGATTTTGAAATCAGCGTTTTGTGCAAATGCTCACCAGGTAAACCAGATTGGTGTTATAAAACGATTGTTCAATGTCTTGGCTATGACAATTTTAATTGTGATAATCATTTTTGTTATCAATAGACGATAGAATAGATCAAGGATGCAGCGTGGAGAGTCCCAACGTACCGCATTCAAACGATTGCCACCTGTTCTATCAATGCGTACCCGGCGTCAACGGCAACGAATTCGTGATGAAAAGCTGCGGCGAGCACATGTTTTACAATCCCGATTCGCAAATCTGCGACTGGCCAGCGAACGTATTGAAAATCAGACCAGATTGTTCGCAAGAACGTACTACACCGGGTAAAATCGTGTGGACTGACGGGAAGACTGTATACAACAGTAGCACTACCTCCACATGGGAGAAGAACGTGATAACGACGAAAGTTTGCAAGGAAGGTGAAACGTGGAGCGATTGCGCGATCAACTGCGACAAGACTTGCGATTATTATAAACATACTTTGGAGCAAGAAGGGAAATGCAGTTGGAAAGGAGGTTGCATACCGGGATGCATTCCGTTGGATAAGAAACCATGCAAATCGAATGAATTCTGGAGAGACGAGACGACCTGCGTCGACCAGGCTGACTGCCCTTGCGCGACCTATGAGGGCCAGCAAATTATTCCATTCACTGTCTTCAAGGAATCCGACTGTGTGTTCTGTCAGTGTGTGAATAATTTGTACACCTGCGACGAAACGTCGTGCAGAACTGGTCAAGGGACCACTTTACCACCTTTGGAAACTACACTTCCTACGACTCGGGAATACACTGTTTTAATACCAAGCACAGTGAGCCCTCCGGCTGAGTGTGTCTCCAACTTCTTCATTCCTTTAATACAGTATTTCGGACCTCAAGTCTCCTTCAATGCTAGCAGTAGCAAAGGTCCTGCATTCCAACCAGAAAACATAGTATTTAATAAAGAGAATAAATTCTGGGAACCAGAAGTAGCATCTGCTGATCAATGGATAGATGTAAAGTTTGAGAAACCAGAGCCAATATACGGCATCGTCGTGCAAGGTGCTAAGGACAAGCTCGTAACCAGTTACAAAGTATTATTCTCAGAGGATGGCCACTCGTTCTCTTACATCCTGGACGAAGGAAGAACACCACGAGTTTTTAAAGGACCCATGAAAGGCTTCGTGCCGCTTGAAGAGAAATTCTACGTGCCCATTGAAGCCAGAGTTGTGAGGATCATCCCGTTAACTTGGCAGAATGATATTGCCATGAAAGTAGAACTGCTTGGCTGTCACATGGCGGTATTTACGACTACAGAGAAGGTGTTGACGACTACAGAGATTGTGACCCCTATGTGCGACGAACCTATGGGATTGGACAATGGGCTGATGTACCCTGAACAGATTTCAGTGTCCTCGTCTTCCACTGATGTGCTACCAAACTTAAAATTGTCTTCGTCGGATGTCTGGCACCCTCAAGTGAACAATCCACATCAATTCGTTAAGATCGATTTCTTGGAGCCACGTAATTTAACAGGAATCGCTACCAAAGGTGGCGAAGGCTCCTGGACCAGAGCGTATAAAGTGTTTTACAGCATGGACAACGTCCAGTGGAATCCTGTGTTGGATGAGAACGGTCTGGAAAGAGAATTCTTAGCTAATTTCGACTCTGATTCAGAGAAGAGGAATTATTTCCAGAGACCACTGAATGCAAGATACCTGAAAGTGCAACCGATTAGGTGGCATGAACAGATAAGCTTGAAACTCGAAGTCCTTGGCTGTTTCTTACCGTACCGTAAGTATATTTCTAATTTCATTCAGTAAAAATATTAATTTGTTGTAATTCATACGAATTGACCTATGCAGCTCCTAAGCGGCCAGAGACAACTTCCACGACTGTAAAGAGTATTGAACAGTGCAACGTGTGCAATGGGAAAAATAGTGAAGATCAGAGCAAGTGCGAGTGCACGGATAATCTCTGGTGGAATGGAAATTCTTGCGTTCTCAAACAAGAATGCCCTTGCGTGATTGGACACATCACGTAAGTAGTCATTAAAACTATGAATGATCTTTCGACTAAGCCAGGAAACAATTACAGCTACGACGTGGGTGCAATATACCTGAACGAGAACTGCGAAGAGTGCGTATGCACTCTGAACGGCATTCCCATGTGTCAGGCGAAGAAATGTGAACCCTGCGAGGATCCAGCATTGAGACCAGTAGTGAACGAATTATGCAACTGCGTCTGCAAACCTTGCCCGGTTGGTACACGCCGGTGTCCAACCAGCAACGTCTGCATCGAGGAGAATTTATGGTGCAACGGAGTCCAGGATTGCCCAGACGATGAGAAAGATTGTATAACGACCGAAGTGACCGAACCCGTAACGCCCACTACTGTCCAAGTGGAGAGCACAACTTCCACATCGACACCAGGTAGTTAAATAAAAGAATTAATGGTGTAAGTCATTTTATAATTGAATATCGTTTTAGCTCCGATCGTGTGTCAGGAACCTATCTGCCCGCCAGGGTATAAAATAGTACCGAAACTAGCTCAGAAGTCACAGTACTATACTAGATCTCGTACAAAAGAAAAGTTTCTGCGTAAGACTTCAACCAGACGAAAAGGATTGAGGTATTTCATTTAATAATCACCTACTTCTGTTAATCTGAATTTCAATTAATAAATCTCTCGACAGGAACTCCATGCGTCATGGACAGACTCAAGTGTTCGAGGTATTTAATAACGAGACGGAATGCGAGCAATTCAGCTGCGTGCCGATCAAACCACCGCCGATTCTGGATAAAGATAAAACTGAATCCTGCCCGGAAGTGTCTTGCCCTCCCAATTACACAGTGGTTTATGAGAAGATGAGTATGTACAAACTGCAGAAGTGTCCCAAGTACAGCTGCAAACCGCCCCCGCCACAGGAAGCAGTTTGCAACGTGACTGGAAGGACGTTCACTACGTTCGACAAGCTGGAATACAAATACGATATCTGTAACCACATCCTGGCCAGAGATATGTACTCTAACAAGTGGTACATCACGTGTAAGTAACATTAATTCTCGACGATTGACCATTTTCACTGAAAAAGTGTGTTTGCAGTGGAGAAGCAATGTAATTCACACTCCGGTCAGTGTATAAGAGTGCTGGCAGTGACTCTGGATCCGAACGTGATCGTACTATACCCCGACATGCACGTAGACATCAATGAATACAGTTTCACGCGAAACCAGATAGCTAGGATCGCTGACAATCTGCCCATGTTTAAAATATCAATTATTGGAGACATTATATACCTGTTGTCAAATTATTACGGGTTCTGGGTGATCTGGGACACGAGCTCTAACGTGAAGATCGGTATATCGACGAAACTGGCACGCCAGGTCGATGGTCTCTGCGGTTATTTCGACGGACATTCGATGAACGATAGACAACTGCCGGATGGCAATCAGGCTCACAGTACCGTAGAGTTCGGTAATAGCTGGGCCATGGAAGGAGTCCCAGAATGCGATCCACAGGTTTGACGATCGACATATCTAATGTTCATCGACGTAATTCTTGAAATTAAATTTTTCTCTTCATCTTTTACATAGATTTGTCCGTACGATCTGCAAACGGAGAGCTGGAAGATCTGCAACGCTGTGAAGGACCCATCGCTGGCGGTGTGCTCTAACGTAGTGGACTTGGAGAGATTTGTTTCAGGCTGCATGGAGAGCATTTGCAATTGTCTTCGTAGTAATCGCACGTCCGATGATTGTCGTTGTCGTTTGTTAACTAGCTTCGTGACGGAATGCCAAGCCAGTGATTTCAATGTCGACCTGTCCAGCTGGAGGAGCACTCATGACTGTCCAGCCAATTGCGAGCCGCCGTTCGTTCACAAAGACTGCTTCAGGTATTTTTTAATGAACGATTTAACGTGGAAATGAGACTGATGAAGTGATTTCATTGCAGGAACAAGTGTGAGACCAGCTGTGATAATCTGCAGCAGATAGATCCATGTCCAGTGATGCAAGGAGTTTGCTTCCCCGGGTGTTTCTGTCCTGAAGGAACTGTCCGAGATGGAAATCAATGCGTGCCACCCGCACAGTGCAAAGACTGCCTCTGCGAGTGGATGGGCAACTCGAAGTTCATTAGCTTCGATAGGAAGAACATGAAATTCGATGGGAATTGCACTTACGTTTTATCAAGAGCCGTGAAGGAGACGGGAGATTACGGTTATCAGGTTCTTGTGTCGAATAAGATTTGTGAAACGGGAACGTGTACGGAGGCGATCTTGGTGCTCTATCAAGGGCACGTGGTTAAAATCCAGGAAGTTGCGCCTGGTCATCTGTTCGAATTAGAAGTAGACGGGTTGAGAGTGAACGAGTTTCCGTATAAAACGTCTTGGATGAACGTGGAACAGACTCCGGATAAGCTCCGTTTCCTGATACCTTCTATTCAATTGGCAATTGTCAGTCATCAGCCGAATTTCGCGTTCAGTCTTACGGTTCCGTCGCACATCTTCGGAGGAGCCATGGAAGGTCTCTGTGGCAATTGTAACGAAGATCCCGATGACGATATGAAGATGCAGCAAGATGGAGAAGTATGGATCCCGTTCGTATAAATTAAAACTTTTTAACATGCCTTGTATTAATCTGCTAAAATCTTCGAGCAGATCACGAGCGACACGCAAGAGTTTGGTACCAGTTGGTTGGTCACGGAGCCAGTAAATGGTGTTGACATAGACACCACAGGTTGCGTCGTCAAGAATGAAAGCAAATGCCTTCTACCTCCTGCAGATCAAGATCCCTGTAGGAAACTGGTGGACACATCGGAATTCGGCATGTGCCACAGTCTCGTCGACCCGATGCCATATTTAATGTGCTGTCAGGACAGTATGTGCTCAGGAGGAGGTCCCTGCGACAGCTTCGAAGCTTATTCAAGGAAATGTCAACAAATGGGAATGTGTTTAACTTGGCGAAGCTCTGAGACGTGTCCTTACACTTGCCCTCCACGTAAGTACCTTTCATTAAGTTAGAGTAAGAAAAGTTTCATAGTATATGAATTATTATATTCTTTAGATCTGGTCTATCAACCGTGCGGACCTGCTTGCAAAGAGACCTGCGACTCTCTTAATGAAATCAAAGACAAATCTTGTGACATCTACGAGGAAGGCTGTTTCTGTCCGGAGAACTTCGTTTTCCACAACGATACTTGCATACCGAAGGAGAAATGTTTACTGTGCGACGAGCAAGGCCACGTCGAGGGCGACACGTGGTTCCCCGACACTTGCACCAAGTGCAGTTGCAACAAGAGAGTCGTCAACTGCGAGAGAACCGAGTGTCCAGCCATGGACACCGTCTGCGAAGAGAGCATGACCGCTGTGGCTGTGAACGGGACAGAAGAAGAGTGTTGCACAAAATATCTTTGCATGCCGAAGACTTTCACCACTGTTCCGCCGTTCTGCGAAGAGCCTCAGATACCGGAGTGCGGTTACGGACAGACAATAAAAGTGTCCACTGATTCTGAAGGCTGCAAGAAGTTCATTTGCGAATGCGTGCCGCAATCAGAGTGTCCTATACTGAACGATATTAACACAGAGGTCGAACAACTGGAACCGGGTTTCGTGAAGGTAATGAACATGTCTGGTTGCTGTCCTAAGCTGATGACCATCTGCGACTCCCAAACGTGCCCCTCAGCACCGTCCTGTCCAGATTACTATGAATTAAAATCCGACGTCAAGAGGAATACCTGTTGCGCCAGTTACAACTGCGTCCCTCCCAAGGATTTATGCCTGTACAACATGGAATCGGAGAATAAGATAGAAATGTCAGAGCACATAGTGGCCAAGAAGTTTGGCGAGCAGTGGATGGATGGAAAATGTACTTCTTGTATATGCGAGCCGTCGGAGAAAGGTCCTCAAGCCAAATGCTTCACGACGGAGTGCCTCAAAGCGGTGGATCATCCGGATTTAGCAGATTTCGTCATGGAAGAGGTCGTTCTTGAAGATAAATGTTGTCCAAACTTCGAGAGGACTGCCTGCAAGGATGGGGAGAAAGTGTACCAGGTCGGCGATATTTGGCAACCGAATCCTGAAGATAGCTGCAATCTAATGGAGTGTTTGAAAGACACCGACGGTATCGAGAAGCGGGCGAAGGTGCAGGAGTGCCACACCGTTTGTGATCCCGGATTTGAATATCAGCCAGCAGAGAATAAGAGTATTAATTGCTGCGGACGATGCGTTCCAACGGCTTGCGTGGTGGATGACCAAGTGAAGAACGTGGGTGAGGAATGGTTCTCGTGGGATTCCTGCACAAAGTTTACGTGCACCTCCGGCAACGGTACCATCTACGTGGAAACTCGCACTGAAGAATGTCCAGAAATAGATCCATCGGAAGAAGGCAAGGTTCAGATAGAGAAACGCTACATTCCAGGCAAATGCTGTCCGGAACTCGTTCGTACTGGCTGTCGCTACAACGGCACGGTGTATAAACCTGGAGAGAAATGGAAGCATTTGGATGATAAATGTGTGACCGAGGTTTGCGTCCTAGAGAATTACGCTGCGACGATTTATCATGTAGAAACTTGTAACAAAGAATGTGCGATCGGTTGGATTTATGAAGAGAGAGAGGGCGAGTGTTGCGGGAAGTGCAAGCAGACGCATTGCGTCGTCGACGAACAACTGTTCGAGCCTGGGTTCACTTGGTACTCCGATGACAACTGCACTATCTTTTCTTGTATGGATATTTCCGGAGAACAATTAGCTATTACCAACAGCTCGACGGTGTGTCCAGACGTGAGCAACTGTCCGGAGAGCTCGATATATATAAAAAATTGCTGCAAGATGTGCAACACAACGGCAGAGAATCAAAAGGTTGACTCCTGCGCCGCAGATGTGTTGGAACCGCAGGAGACGATCGGTATGTTTAGTATGAGGACCAGAGCACATGGGCTTTGCAAGAATTTGGAACCGGTCGAAGGAGTCACGGAGTGTCACGGCAAGTGCAAGTCTACCTCTTACTTCGACGTAGGTGAGTACAGTCCCCTGATCTAGCCTGTCTAGATCTGTCTCAAACCTTGAAACAGATTGACCGATCAATGAGGTTGATTTAATTATTTCAGAGAACTGGAGCCCTGTTGTGGACTGTCAATGCTGTCAACCGACGGAGCACAAAGGTCTGATAGTCGAGTTAACGTGCGACGACTACAAGAAGTACAAGAAACAAGTAGTAGTGCCGGTGTCGTGCACTTGCTCGGCGTGTAGCTCCGGAGGTGGTCACATGAAGGGAAGGCGCGGCGGCGGTGTGAAAGGGTGAAGAGCTGGAGTGAATTAATTCTAAGTTAGTAACTAAGTTATTAAGATCTATTGTTAAATCTTGAAAGTAAACCCAAGGATACAAAAATATTCTTCGTTGATTTTATTGATCGATGCGTATATATACACAAATATATATACATATCGTTTCTCAACAGTCGTATATCGGCTTCCTCTCGTTGCCAAAAATTCTTCTCCGGACCGATGGCTAAGTACAATAGAAAATAATTCAGTCTTCCCTTCGATAAGACTAAACGAGCTCGAAACCGTTTTCGTTTTGTACTCGAAGGTTCCGGATCTGCCAGAAGAAGTTAACGTCTCTCGTCAAGACGACCATGCCGATGATACGATCTAAATTAAAAATCACAGCTTCTTCCCCTTTACGCAACGAAAATCAAACGGAAGCGAAGATTCGTGTAAAATCTATTCACCCCCTGTGCCAATTCCTCCGTGCTCAACTTGATTCGACGGGCGCGCGATGATACAAGACGGACTTAAGAAGAACGTTTTTAGACTAGTTTCCAGAAAACCTGAGCAGTCGAATCGTAACGAACGTAAATATCCACGAGTGAACGCCGAGACGAGTATAAAAATCAAAAAGCTACGAATCCGATTCTTTCCCTACCGGCGTTAGTCGTCGCAAACGTAATCGAACTTACAAACGCTAGTATATCTCTCAGTCAGTAACAAAACATCATTAATCCTCCCTCACGTACATCAATGTATATAATATATATATATATCTATAACTTATCTTTAACATCTTCATTTTTGCAACGAATTACCACTCTTAATAACAACGCACTTCTATACTGTATCTCTCTAAGTGCATATATAGATATCATATAGGGGATGGCAACTACGTATAAACCTTTCTCTCCCTGAACGTTACAAAAAAAGGAAAAACTCTTCCGGTTTCGATTGGACGCGTTAACGCACTCGACAAAAATAATAGTATACAAACGCCTTTGCAAAATCCTACTGATTTACTTCTATATATATATATATGTGTGTGTGTATGTATATAGTAGAGAATAATATTGAACGCGATTCGTTAATTTATATATATACACGATCCTACACTCCTACGATATTTTTATGGCATCGATCGATGCAGTGATTTTTCCTTCCTGTTGTTTCACGAGCCTCGCGTGCAAAAAATTGATCTTTCTACGATTGGCAACGGAACACCTTTTTCATGATTCAAAAGAAATTAGACCTCGTGGTGATTGGAGAGTTTCGAAAAAGAAATGAAACGATCTTTGTCATGCAAAACAGGATAGTAAGAATAATATTTCTCTCTATGCTAACAAATTTTCTTACGACCTCGTGTCAGTGAAGTTGCTCATTTTTATTTCAAGTAGAAGCAATAGCAGAATATTTTCATTATCAAATGTCACTGTTGACCAGAGAAATTTTTATATCCACAGTTAATTGATAATTCTCATCTCCAAAAACAATCTGATTCAATGGAATTTATCTCGAGATTATTTCAGGAGGAGTAGAAGTTGTATCCAACCCGTGAACCACAAGAACCACGAATTTCAATCTCGACAAGCAGCGGTATTAAATTAAATCGAGAGTTTCGATCGTTCTTGTGTTTCGAAGGCGCCGGAAACAACCTGATGTACAGAATCTCCTTGGCACCTCAATGGTTTCATTAACCTGTTAACTGGGATAGACGAGGACTTAGTACTCCGTAATTTAAATTGTCGGAAGCAGGAACAACTTGCCGTTTTACCCAGGAGAAACTTCCCACAGTGAACGCGCGAGTCAGTTAACAAGTTAACGAGGAACGAGAAAGTAACAGAACCTTGTGTTCCCGGGCGCATTTGCGAGCCTACGTAACCGATTTAAGTCCAGGTTCCCCCGATCCCCGGCTCCATGCGTGCGTCGAGAGTACAGAGAGACTGAGTTTAGGCTGTGTTCCTCTCGCGTACGGTAGTTGTACGCTACCTGAAAGGAGGAAGGGCTACTTTTTGCTACTCTCAACAGAGTACACAGCAGTGTGGAACACGCTGTGATACCTATATTGCTACCTTCCGGCCCGAACGTCGTGGCCCAATACACGGAAAACGCGTGCGTGTAACCCTGGACGGTGTCTTCTTGCTGTTCTCTTCCTACCGTTGTTGTTCTTCGTTCTCTTTTTCCTCTCACTCATCCTCGGGACCCGCGGCGAGCGAATCATCGGCCCTTTATTCAGGGGCCGAAAGCAAATCCTAGGCAAGCTCTCTTTTCCCCTTCGCCTCCGTGTAGAATTGAGACCCGTTCCCATTCGTTACCGCCAATGATCTTTGATGGAAGTGCCTACTCAGCAGGTAGACCACCGCTTCGTACGTCGCCATTATTATCGCCGTGTTCGGTATTTGTCGGATCAAGTGAGTGCCGAGTCCACGATACAGTCCGTACGGGCCTTCTTCGCTGTACACGGTCTTCAGGGTTTGCGTGAACGTCAGGTACTTGTTGCCCTCTTCTCTCAGCCGCGTCCTTGCCACCTCTGGAACATTGATTTCGTATTTGACAGCTTCTAATATTAGATATCTCCCTCAGTCAGCTAATCTTGAAGAAACTAAAATGAAGATTAATCGATAGAGAGATTGCAAAGGTGCTCACACGAGAACTAAAGTTATTCTCTTTCTTTTATAGTATCTATTGATAGAAGAATTAAAGGAACTTGTGAGATGACCGTTTGTCGTTGCACCGCGGTGTGATTTTCAACTCTGTATGAGAAGAGGAGAAGGCTTGAGGGTATCGCGTGGCACGGGCAATCTTACCATGGGGGTAAGCGATGCTGGAGGCGATCGTTTTCGAGAACGAACCGGCCGCCATGAACTCTAAGAAATCGCGCAACGTTTTCCGATCGTCTCCGCCGATGGACCTGCACGTTGCTATATACGCTTTCACCGCCTCGTAGATCACGAAATGTATCACAGTCTCGCTTATCCCTATGTAGGAGGCCATAATGCCTTTGTAGAATCCCTTGATACCCTGAAAATACAATAGAACGCTTAGCTCCCGAGGGTGTTTCGCGTGAGGAACGTGATTCCGACGTCTCGATTAAACGAAAGCATCCATTCTGCCAACAGCTAAGTGATTACGAAATCATCTAGTTAAACGAATCACATTCTTCTTACAGGAATTGAACACGTGTATCTGTTTACTTGTTGGCGTGAGTTCTTCGCTTTGTTTCTTACGTGAAGCTTAGAGAATCAGAGAATCACTGTTGATGCTTCTTAAAAGAGCTTGCCACCAACAAAGGTATTATCTCGAGTGAGTACATCGGGAATATTTGCTTGCGAAGATAAGGTAAACGTTAAATTTCGAGGATGACTGATAAGCCGATATGATTTACGATCAGATGATCAATATTGTCTTGAGAGGGATCCAATTCCTCACGGTGTACTACTTTTCATTATCTTACGTCTCTTCGCTAATATCATGGAAGTTTCCGCGTGTTGAGCAATTTCGATTTAATTAAAATAATTAATACAAATATTTTCATGAAGATCGTTGGATTTTAACAATGTTTGACTTGATGTTTCACTCGTATTGTAAACAGCTTAAGAATATTTAACAAGTGATTCTCTGATTTTCAACGACGATGAAGTATGCCAAGTGACGATTAGATTATTAAACAGAGATGGATTATCGTACGTTGGCGCAAATTGACTGAAGAATGTGTGAACCATCAATGAACGGTCGCGGAAAATTTGATGCCTGGTCGACCTTATCGTCGCGTGCACACATGTGTCGCGTGATCGTTTCAAGTAGAAAGCGACGTATTTTGTGGAGAACGTGTTGCGCCACAGAAAATACTAGCTCCGTGCATTTGCATCTTTTCTCGCAATTGCGCAAAGGAATAAAAACACTGAATAAATTAGCGCAGTCGTTCCGCGAGCTAATATATCATTCATCGTCGACCTACGATTCTATCAACTTTACGTAACCAGAGTTCAAGTTCTCTTTTGGGGGGGAAAATTAATGCACCCGGTAGGCGCCGGCGATGAGAACAAGTCTAGATGACGCAGAGTTGAAAGAAAATAACTTTCGATGGACAAGTCCGTCTTGTTTTCGCACGGTCGAGATATTCTCGGTGCACTTTACTATTCGTAGATCTGGCACGGTTGCAATTCCGGTGCAACATCAAAATAATGTGCTCAACAATACCGAGTTTAAATTATTATCCAATAAATTATCCAGAACTACGAAGGAATCGATTAAAATTTGATTTAAAGCTGTTTCTACGAGTGTCCTCATTCTTTTGAAATGAAACGCTCGTTTGCAGGAGATAGTTACGTCGAAAATATTACAGACGCGGGTATTCTGGCATTCGTACGCGTTTACAAATCGTAAAAATACCCTTGGCTAGTAGACCGGCTCGCGTTCATTGTATATCGCAACAGTTGCAACACGACTGTCGACGAAACTTCGAGGCTTCTTCGCTCTCTCTCTGAGAAGCCTATACGTTTATTTCTAATAATCATCCAACCGCATTCTCTTGGTTATCAGAATTTATCGGCGTCCCGCACACATCTTGGTTCCTAAATTCACAATGGAATTTCCAACGCTTGTTCGCGGTCTGAAGAATGAAACCTCGTTGCAATGGAACTGACCGCAAATTGTGCAATGTGTGCCTGATTCGTGAACGATGATCGTGTAATATGATTTATAAGATACACTTGGTGTTAAGACGTGTCGTTCTGGACTTTTCGTACCGATTGACGATATATCCTTTGCACGCACTGCATCGCTGTGATTTTGTTCGTTCGGTGGTCCAGCTGCAGCCTGGTCTTCACGAACCAAATAGGATTTGTCAACGTGCATGCCACGAAACCTGAAAAATGAATGCACGTGTTTTTAATCCGATCGGTGCGTGGAACGAGGATGGGCCGACTGTCTGAGCCCTCCTCAAGGTTCTACATTTTTCCAGAGCAGCCGCACGCGATTTTCTAATTTACTAAATTAACTATCTGACACGACAGCCTGATCTCTAACTAAAAATAATCATAATTCAAGAATCATTGTCCTCCTTCTTCCTCCTTGAAACTTCTGTCCTTAATTAATCAGGGAATAATAAACTAGATGAACTATGACCACGAATGACTCGACCTTCTATCGGATTTGCGGTATTCGTCCAGCAAATATAACAGCCAAAAACGAGAAACGATAGTGTCGATCGCGAACCTTTCTTTTCGAATCCTAAACTAGCTGGCAGAAGTCCCTCGAATCGATCCACCGATTCCTGTAAACATGCCAACTACTAAATTTACTGCGCAGACAGTTGGACCGGAATCGACAACAAATCAAGCCCCCCCGCGGGAACGTGAAACTATCGAAATTTCGAGTCGAGGAAACAAACGAGTCCCGCGAATTAGGGGCAAGGTTCAAGAAGCCGTAGGAGATGCCACGAATCAGGAAAGGTGATAAATTGCCTAGCGCGACCTTGTACGAGGCTCAACCGGACAATGAGACCAACATTTTAGATCTAGTCGGCCACAAGAGAGCGATCATCTTCGGTGTTCCCGGCGCGTACGTCCCCGGATGCTCCAGGGTTCACTTAAGAGGATTCATAGAAAAGTACAACGTGCCATAGACGCGTACAGTTTCGACACGAATTTAGCGAATCTAATTTGAACGTTCAGATCAACAGAACTGAAGCTGTTAGGCTTCGAAGAGATAATCTGCGTAGCCGTGAATGATCCGTTCGTGATGTCTGCTTGGGGAAACGCCAGAGGAGCCAACGACAAAGTACAGTTCATTTAAATTAAGAACCCCTCAGAGATTGATTAATAAACATTTAGGTGAGAATGCTGGCAGATCCTACGGCGTCGTATACCAAAGCCATAGGGATGGAGGTGGACATTCCAGAATTAGGAGGAATCCGAAGCAGGCGATACTCCATGGCAACGGTGAACGGGATCGTCAAAGAATTGTTCATAGATCATCCCAACGTGAAGCTCATGTGTCTACAAACAGACGGTGTACCTACTTATTGTACTTAAAGTAAACCATGTAAATAAATTAAACAATACATTCTACCGAGTCCAGGTTCAAAATTCCACAGATGACCGATCCCTCTTCTATAAACTTGTTTATATCGAACATATCATTTATGTTTCAACATTCCGCTCGGCGAAGGCATTTGCATTCGCGCAAGGTCAGCACGAAATGACCATTGTAATGCGCGAACTGCTACCGGCCGCCTGAAATAGATACTTAAACAAGCGCAGAGCGTAGAGACGTTCAATGGAGTCACGCAATTGCCGGTTTCCCGGCGTGCATCGTAAACACTCTCGTCGCTCGTCTATTTTCGTCTTCGACGCTACGAACCTACCAAAACACGCTAGAGATTACCGCGCGCCGACGAGCGCCGGGGGGGCAGCTTCCGTAAATTACTTATAGTTTATCTACCTCTTATCGCAATCCGACGCTTATTAAATTCATGCTGCGCAACACAACTTGCACACAAGTAGGACGCTTGCCAACTAGAGTTTCATATAAAAATACTCCGACTGATTTTTATTCATTGCCGTTGCATTATCTATTACACTCGAAGCATTCGTTATCATTCCAATGCAGTTTATCCGTGAGACGTAAATAAAAACAGAGAATTCTAACAGATATCTGAATGAAAATACAATTTACACAGAAATTACATAAGGACTTGATATTAAGGATGTATTGGCTATACAGTCAATCCCAAAAGTTTATGTACCTTAGAAAAACGCATTTCCTATAATTAAAAAGGAATCAGACGTCGGAAGAATAATGCTAATAATAAATAGCTACGTGCTAAAAAGTATAGAAGGAAATATCCAATTAAGTATTGACGTTAGCGAAAAATTTTTACATGGAAATTATAGATCTCGTCGTCCTCTACAAGATAGGTCATATGCAATTTTTCCGTATGTCTAACGGTTTGGGAGTTATTGGCCAAAAACGAAAATTTGGAAGAAATTGAAGGGGTACCCCTTGGAAAAATCTCGGAAAAATCAAAAATTTTTTTTTGGTGTTTATTATTAGCAATGTTCTTCCGACGTCTGATTTCTTTTTAAAAAATGCGTTTCTAAAGTGCATAAACTTTTGGGATTGACTGTATAGCCAATACATTTTTAATTCTAATAATAACTTTCAATTTTCCAAGCTACCACGTCTGTTCGTTACTTATCTTCTTTTATGTTCTAATACTTTTTCAGAGGAGTGTAGATATACGTTGTCTATCACGTATCCAGAGAAGGGGCTCCACTTGGCAAACGTTCTCGTCAACCACTTGAATTTACTTTTAAACATCTGATTTTGTAAACAAAAAATTCTAAAGAAATTTCATCTTTCCCCTTTAATTGAGTTATTGATCATAATCTCGAATCACTTTTGCGTCGCAGCGTTCAACGTTCTCTAATAAAAGAACTGCCAAGCTCGAGCCGGGTTGAAGGAGTATCGACTGTTTCTATCCTGACCTACCTCACCGCGAGGGAAACACTAGAAATGCGGTGTTATCGATTCCTACGTGACACAGTTTGGATGCTGGACTCGAAAGTACGATGCACCGACGAATTTGCTTTAATCTTTAGCTCAATTATCAAACGACTCATTCTAATAAATCTATCAAATATTATCTGCTATTCTTAAACATGCTGCGTTATATATCATATAAGATGTATTATACTTTTAGAACGTTAAACAGCAGTTCAATATGTAAATTTGATTTTCAAATACCGAGGGCTCATTAATACTGATAAGCCGTTGTACTAGGTCAGCGATGGAGTTTCGAGTTACGAAGGACGCGTGCAGATCGATTGCATAATCCGGATGCGTCGCAAGAGACGCACCGGTGTGCCGCGGTAAACAGTGCGTTGGCCGACCGCGAACTGGGTCAATAGATCGGAATACCTGTTTGCAAACTCGGGATACGAGTCAAGAAAACAAATCTATCTTTGAACAACAATAAACTTGCTCGTTGATTCTCGATGCTTATCTTGAAAAATCTAATCGCACGCTCTTCAACACTTGCTGTTTTCTCGTACGAATCACTTCATGCAAGTAAGTATTGACGTTCCAATTTGCAGCCGAGCAAACTTAGTAAACACGAGTTTGCATAACGCTCGCAGTCACGCGAGCGTGAACCACCAACAATCGAAACCTGTTCCAACAGGAAAAAATGAAGATTGTTTATAATAAAAGTAAGGTGAAAATGGGGAGAAGGGTGAAACGAAGGATGGAGGCTCGAGGGAACAATGGCTCGAGCGAAAGTGGTGTTCCATTCAAGAGTAGTTTCTATTTTTAGCCGTGCAATTCCAGCTACCCTGCGTTTATTTACGAGCAACGGGGGGACTATCGAACCGGCCCCATAGATCTATTTTCTCAATGACACGCCGCACAATCCCTATTACCTTACGCGTTCCTCCACTGTTCAATTAATTACGCAACGCGAAACGCAATTATATCTCCGTTGCAAATATAAAATCTTGTTTGCACTTGATATCGGAGGCATAAGGAAGATAACAGTCGACGTTTCTTATTAAACGGATCGATGCTATATGCACGAATAACAAGCCGTAATTGATCCGGCAGAGGATGTTTCAAGGCCACCGATGCAATTGGATGCAATTGCACGAATGAAATGAATGTTGAGGAGCGACTGGTTTGAGAAGAAGAGACAGTGGAATATTTCAAAAGCTTGAAGCTAACGACTTTAAAAAAGACGAAATTCAATTATAATTGCATGGAAAAGACTAAAAACAGTTCTTAAAATAGAACAAGAGCTGAGCCCATGGGATTTCAAGCTGCAACTACTGGGAAATTGAGGTCACAGTCACAGGACACGAAATCGGCTACGTGACCAGAGACACGTTTCGGTGGAAGGGAAAACCCTCATAAAAGGTGCGGAGAACCGTTGAGTCAATTGCGTCGCCGGAACGTTTTCCTCCTGAACCCCTGCTATTCTTTCCTCGATTATCCATTTAAGCGTGAATCGCACAAGTGCATAACAGCACCCCAGCAAAGAACGGGCGATAATCTCAAGGAACAAAGTTCACTTATCTCTGTTCGTTCAGCCTAATTCGGAGTCAATGAATCATGATTACAATTCGATACAAAGTACAGGCGTGCCAGAAAGAAAAGATTAGTCATTTATCTGTCTTACCTTTAAACGGGGATTACGCGGATAATATAATCGGACGCGCAGAATCGGCGGGTTATCGTGCTAGAAATACGAGATTACAAAACTATTTACGGCTAATTCATTCAGACAGATAACGGGGAATGACGCGCGAAGTAACCCCACTGAGGACGTTATCACCGAGCTTGATTGTTCCTAAAGAAAAACGAGGAGAGCGATAACGCGGTCCTTACGTATTCTGGTCGCCCGGCCGATGCCTTGGCTAGATCTACGTCTATTTCTGTTCTCTCTCTCTCTCTCTCTCTCTCTCTCTCTCTCGGTCATTCGACCACTTTCTACACGCAACGTAACTTCACGCTCTATTCGGTGCGCTTATTTTTTAACAAGAACCAGAACCGTACGGCACTTAACGAATTTCCAATCAGGAAATTATGAAAATGCTCGTACAGGTCTGGCTTGTTTCAAGCATGAAAAACAATCGAGCTAATAGAATTTCATACGAGCTTCGCGACACACCACGCGCTCTGCTACTCTTCATTCAACCGTGTCACGGTAGTTATTGGCTGATCTGAATCACGTTACAATGAGCATCGATCGGCCGATCGGCCCGGAAGCGGAACGGCGATGCGTACTCACCGGCGCAGAATGCGGAGAACACGTGGACGAGCGCGGTGTCCGGGGCGAAGATCGCGTTGAACGCGACTTTGCTTTTCGAGTAGGCGCAGAAGTAGATAGCGCGGGACGGCGCGACTCCTACAAGGTTCGGTCCCAGACCTTTGAACAAAGCCCGGGTACCCTCGTTCTGGATGATGTACCTGATGCACTGTAACACGCTCGGCGTCGAATATCTATGGGGAGATCCTCCCGGGGGAGTGGACGCGCCGAAGTGGGACAGAGCCACCAGAGCGTGCCTGCAATGCAAAGTCATTCACGATCAACTCACCGATGATTTGCAATATGTTTCGGTGATGAAAATACAAAAAGCGTTACACGAGGTGTACGCGAAACACGTTTTGATTGATCAGTAATTAACAATGTAGATGCATGTATAAACAATTAAAGAAGATAGGTCAAAGACAATTGGAATTTCGAGGCGCGAGGGGTTCGTCGAATCGAGCGTTGAAACACGTCGAGCCTCGGGGTTTATTTTCAGCCAGGAATGCCGCGAATGCAAGCATCAGTCGGGCATCGAAACACGCAAAATTACTATTACTGCGATTCTACCTGTAAACAAGTTTCCGCGTGCAACGTGCTGATACTTGACACGCATTTCTAGCCGGTTTTCTATTAAAAGATGTAATGATACGATGAACAAATTACCTTGTGTAACCTCCGGTGCACAGCCTCCTCCTCTGTTCCGGTTTCGGGAAACTCTTGCACGTGACATGTCCGGAGGTGAACTCCTTGTTCACCGGTGGTGGGTAGAAACCGTCAGAGGATTGCAAGCGCGTTTTAACCACTTCCAGGGGGCATGTGACTATGGCACCGGTTGTTCCAGCCACTCTGAGGGAGAAAACGTGATAAGAACGTGATCCACTTCCGTTTGAGAATCTCAATCTTCATAATTAATTACTTGCAATCGGGGTGACAAGAGATTAGAGATAACTTTTATCTCAACAAAATTAATCTGTACCCGAGCATTTTCGTCTTTAATAAGTTAAACGACACAAATAACTGTAATTAACATGTAATCATGCTTTCTATATCTATAGTTATCACTGGAATGTAAATAACGAGCTATTACGTGCGAGAGTATCACGCGTGTTTTTCCACCCGAAAATTCTATTTCACACATCGTCACGAACGGTTTTGATAAAGCGATCGATTCGGTAAACGACGAAGAAAGCAGTATTTGTATATACATTTCGTCGTGAAAACATGCACCCCCGGCCGGAAAGCCGGTTACGGCGCGCGTTCTATACATAAACGTATGCTTGAACGACGTTACACGATATTGCTTATTTTCGATCCGGTTAAAAGTGTCGATGAATGCGACGGCGGATCGATGTTGCACAAAAACATGCACAGATCGGACAAAAATAACGACGGTTACTAAATTGGGACGATCAATTACGCATATGCGATGTATGTACACCGCATGAAGGATAGCGACCAAGGATGACGTAACACGACGAGCCGGCGACAATGTCGCAGTAGATTCAAGGTTAAACGCTGTCTACCACGGCGAAGATGCATTTATTCGTCACGAATTCGAACGCTGCGTAAATTCTTTGCCGAGGTCCGGGCAACACCGGCGCAGCTCACGACGCAACGACGCACGTTACCTCTCGGCTTCGATCGGCGAGCTCGCGGTTAATTACGACGTTTCGCTACTAGGTAAATAAATAAGCCGGTAAACCCACCCTCCGGCGACGAGGTGTATCGCAGTGTCGCGATCCAACATTCTTCCACTCGGCCCCGTGTCACTCCGAGAGCATGAACTTTTTCGAGAAAAGGATCGATCGGGGCGAAAACACTGACAGATTCACACGCGTGGGAAGAACGCCGAAGACTGCGTCCAACGCGCCGCGAATCGAATCGCGTACGTAGTTATTATTGTTGCACGATTCCAATCTCGACGGTGAACGGGTGAAATAAAAAAAAAATAGCACAATTCATGAGACGGACGAAACTGCACCAGCGCGATCACCAGCTCGTCAACAACTGATCGCATTGACCGCAAACGAGTGTAGGCGCACCGCGGCCATAAAACAAACCGGCGACTAGAGAGGTCCTCGCCGTCGCAGTTCCAACGGTAGAGATCGCGGGAATTTAATTTTCATTTGAATCCGTTTTACAACTGATTGCAACAATAATAATTAAGTATACGAGGAGGAGGGATGATGTTCAAATAAAATGTACATGTATTTTTATGTAATAATAAAAGATTAAATAAATATAATAATACTGAATCCTAGGTGTTACATATAAAAATAAAAATAGGAGAGATATCAATAGAGAGTACCTCTTAAAATTCCAAGTGCTGCAATACTTGCGACACGTCCATCTCCTCCGTATCATCTTCCCTTTCTCTTTTAATCGCTAAATGCATCGCCCTCAAAAATCTGGGCAAAGTACATTTCTTCGTTCTCAGATAAAAAGCGTGCGCTAGGAATGGAATCTTCTTTAAAATGCGACCGCTGAAACCCTGACTCTCTTCGCAGAGGTCCATTAACTTCAAACTGTTCTTCGTCTGCGGTGTCTCCTCATAATTCATCTTTTTCAAGTACGCTAACTCGTAAATCTCTTCCGGTTCCATCAGCTTGACCTAAGAAAGCCAAGCTTGAGCATATACTATAAATGAACGTTTATAAATACTCACCCTCATTAATTCCTTGAGACAGGAAGCGTAGATTTTGTATATCGCTTGATGCGTGGGAGGTCCGATGTACTGCTTTATATCTGCTCTGTCGATGAACGCCAGGTCGATAGCTTCTGAAAGATTGCTGGTAGTAAGAAGTAGAACGTTCGGGTATCGTTTTATTTGATCCAACTGTGTCAACAAGGCGTTCACCACCCTTATAGCATCGCTAGGCTCTGCTCCGTTGCTACATGACTTCCGGGTATGCGCCAGAGACTCCACTTCATCGACCAGAATGCAGACCAACGCTTGCGGATTCTCCAGAAGTCTTTTTATCTCGTTGAACAACTTCATGACCAGCTTACCACTCTGAAATTAATTACAATTTCATCTTTGATCCTCCGCGATCGTTCGTTCTTATTTTACCTCTGAGAACCACTTTGAGAATAAACTGTGGCTATTTATCTCGACGAATTCGCCGTGGGTGAACCTGTTTCCTAGACGAATGATAGTTTTCTGAGCCAGGGCTTTGCACAAGCTGGTCTTCCCTGTGCCAGGTGGCCCATGCAACAGCACCACTTTGTTCCAGCTTACGATGTTAGTATTCACATTGTGATCTGAGAATATCATTGATGTTTCCACGAAATGAAGTAACTGAAAAGGAAATTATTATTTAGATTTGTAACACAATGGGGAAGTAAATGGAAAGAAAAATGAGCTATACATTGTCCTTAATGTTGGAATCGAAATAAAGGCTCTCCCACAGATAATGAAACTCTTCTGTTGGTAATATCCAATGCGAAGAAACTGGGAGATCCTCTCCATTGTTATCCATAGTCTCTGTAGCTGCAGCTTCCATTGTCAGTCTATATACATGAAATTTCAATGTGGCACCTTGTATCTTCATTTGATTCTTCTGTAACAATTACCTTCTAATAAATCTTTTCTATAAATCAATATACCTTGTGTTTATTACCTTTCCATAACTACAGCTACATATTATTGAATCGACGTGTGTCTGTAAGGTTTGGTTGGATAGATCCTTTCCATACATGATTGTATCCAATGCAACTTCATCCAACGTGTTTATTTCGGCGTCTACCAGCTTCTCAATCGTGTCGGTCGTCAATGCACTGAAAGTACATAAAACGATACGAAATCGATTCAGTAAAAGCGTAAATTAATATCTTGTTATAAACAAATTCTGTGCGAAAATAATTGTAGTCAATCGAGTGTAAAAAGACGGGTTGCCGGCTGGTAGTCACGATTACCTGGCGACATTCTGACAAATTTCCACATGCAAAACATCGAACCCTTCCATCCTTTTTCCTTCCTCGAAAACTTTTCCTCTGGCACAAAGATGACCACAAACAAACGCGTGTCACGTGTATATCACGGAACGACAAAGGATTTCAAACACGATTTGAAACTGGTAACTGGTCACGCAGGTGTTTCCAACAAGCACACAGGATAGACGAAGGGGACGAAGGGTGACACAGATGGAGAGGGGGAGATCTCAAGCCGAGTTCGAAGAGGCGCGAATTTACGTTTCATATCCAGTAGTTCGCGTTCCCGTCGCGGACACGACACAACGGATCCCTCGTGAATGATCTGGATTTTCGTAGATCCGTGCACGATCACCAGACGCTGTATTTCTAAAGTCGACAACGGTCAGATGTTTTAAAGCTACTGCGACGGTTGGTGACGGTTGGACACATGGATTTGAAATGTAGTGGATGACAATCGTGGCTACTGTTCAACCTGTTCAATCGACGCTTCAAGAACAATCAAACTGTCGTGCGGCTCGCCCGATTATCAATCAACTAATCGACGCTAATTGTTGATCGGATCTTTAATGAAATGAGCAACGCAACAGACGACGATGAGCGGAGAAGACGCTGTTTGGAAGCGGGCAGAGAAATGGTAAGTTCTCCATTCGTTAATCATCTCACCTCCTAATTTCCATTCTCCTAATTAATTATGAACTAACGGCGCGATCTTCGAGACGAGAGTCCGTTCGCGGGGGCGTAGAGGACGTTTGAAAAAAATGTGAATTCTGTCGTTAGAAAATTGCCACTTCATCCCTCTTCCTTTCGTAATAAAGGATTTATTTTATTCTACATATTTTCATGAAAATTAATATCATTGCATCCTGGTTTTGTTTAGCTGGAAAAGTACAAGGCAGAAAGAGCAGGTAAATCTCAAGGTGCTGGACCTAGTCAGACTGATGAGGCATCTGATGAAGAATCCTTCCACAATGAGAAATCCATTGGGCACAGGGAATCTTATGTAAGAACACTTTCATATCTACTCTCCTGCTAAGAGTACTACTCTATCTATGATTACAGGCACATGAGGGTATTTCTTCAAGAGATATAACACAGAGTAGTGTCAGTATGAGCGAAGGAGAGGCTGATGGAGACTTGGAAGGCATGGCAGGGAGAGTGGTTCAGTTGGAAGAATTGCTACAGGGGAAGGAAGCTATTGTGGAAGCCCTTAATGCAGAGTTCGATCACTTGAGAGCAGAGGCACCTTCTCCTAACTCTTCTCAAAGCCAGAACAGCAGTATACACAGTAGAGAGGTCATATCTTTATACCACATAAAGGTATGTCTGTTTGTTTCTGGACACAGTGTGTGTGCAGACAGTCGTATATCATATTTCTATGAAAACAGCTGCAAGAGTTTGAGAAAGCGATCAATGAAAGGGATAACCTGATCGAGGATCTCACGTGGCGGCTGCAGCTCGCCCTGTCTGCGAGGGATAATTTTGCTAGTCAATTGAACGCCTTGAATGCTATGGAAATACCTTGTAACGATAATGCTGTAGATAATAAGAGTTTACAAGAAAAGGTAACTATTCTTGATTTCAGTGGTAACTGAACGTTATTCTCATGCGACAGTTATGTTTTAGATCGATAGTTTAGAAGAGACACTCAACGATCAGAGATCGACGATACAGAAGTTGAACGGGCAGTTAACTCAAATCCAGGAACATGTACGGACACTAGAAATGGAGAAAGAAACGCGTAACGCGGAGGTGAACGATTACAAATTGCAGATCGACGATCTGAACGAGCAGATACGTCTTAACGCTGCTGATAGGAATCAGAACATCGCCGAGACGCTGGAGCAACAGAAACAGTACGAGACTCGGGTAGACAAGAATAAACAAGATATGCAACAGATATTGAAAAAGTTTACCGCGGAAACGAACGCCAATACCGCGCGCCATCAACAGGAATTGAAGGATTTGTCTGCGAAACACGAGACGGAAGTAATGAACATACAAGAGAAGTACGAGGAACGTTTGAAACAATTAAAGGAAGAGAACAAGTCTTTGGCCGATCGTTTGAACAAGGAATTGCCCGATCTGGAAACCAGACACGCGAAAGAATTGTCCATCTTTCAAACGCAATTGGCACATTACAAGAAAACCGTGGAGGTTCTGAAACTGGAGTTGATGAACCGTTCCGAGTCTCAGCAAACCGCTCAAGCCGAGTTAAACGAGTACAAATCGAAGCTGAACGAGTTGAAGGTGCAATCGGAGAAGTCGAGACACATCCAAGACCTGGACCACCAAAAGGAGAAAGAAATGCTGGGCGAACAGATTAAATTACACAAGATTCAACTGGAAGAGATCACCTCGAAGTATCTCGCCGCGACTGCAGTCCTAGAATCGAAGGAGAGTATCGAGCGGTCATTGGAGCAGGCGTTGACGAACGCTGCTACGTTGAAGGACGAGAACGAGAGTCTGAAGTTCAAGCTCGGCGACCTCTCCTCGCGATATTCCGCCGCGCAGTCATTGATAGAGAACAGCCAGTGCCATGAGAGGACTCTGACCAACAGAATCTTCGATCTCGAGAAATCGTTGTCGAGGCTCAGTGGCATAAACGTGAGCACGTTGAGCGAGCTGAACGAGACCACTTACCAAACGATGGACGAGATGGCGATTCAATATCAGATGGCCAAACAGAAGCTCGAGGAAAAGGCTGAACTGGAGAAGCTTCTGGTTCAAAGGATCGAGGGTCTCGAGGAGGATGTACGCAAGTCTAAAGAAGAATTGGAAGAGGCCGATTTCACCAAGAAATCTTACGAGAAGCAGCTGAAGGATATGAAGAACATGTGCGACAAATACAAATCAGAATTAAACTCTTTGAAGAAGGACGCGGAAGAGAGTAGTTCACTGTGTAGTCAGAGCGTGAACGATCTGCTGCGGAAGACGGAGGAGGATCAACAGGAGATAAAGAAATTGAAGGCGAGCCTCGAACAAAAGGAGCAAGAGCTTACGGAATCTACAACGAAGATGTTTGAGCTCTCGGAAAAATTGAAGAAGTCCGAGGAGGAGTGCGACCAGTTGAAGAACGGATTGACCGCGGCATGGGCCCAGTGTGCCGAAGTGGAAGAGAGACTGAATCAAACGTTAGGTTTAAGCGACAGCAAGCTGGATATGTCGGTGTCATCGTCCAGTTTCTGCAGTGCCTTAGCGAAGCTCAAAACAGACGGTACTAATAATACTGCAAACGCGACGCACGAGCAAAGTATAGATGCTAGTAAAATTGCCTACGAACAAATCGATGATCTCAATAGTAGTACTAGAATATCGTCTCTACAATCGAAATTATCATCCGTCCTCGAGGAGAACGACAGATTGCTGAAGGAACTGGAGGACTACGAGGAGATGAGAACAAAGTTGAGACACTACACGGTTTTATCCGAGAATCTTGCCACGGAGAAAGATCGCAAGACTGAAGAGAATAATACGTTGAAGAAAAAATTGGAGAGCATGAATTCGGTGCAGGAATCTGTGAATCAGTTGAGATCGGAGAAGGACGCTCTGCGCAAGGAGGTCGAGGCATTGATCTGTGTGCACGACGAACAGATAAGTGCGATAAAAGCTGAAACCGCATCCGAAATGAGGAAAGTGCAGTCCTTCATGTTGGGCGTCAAGGAGGGTACGACTGAATTGAACGATTTGAAGAACGAGCTTGAGATGCGACACGCGAAGGAGATGGAGGAACTACGGACGTACTTCGAACAAAAGTGTCTACTAATGGAGAAACAATACTCTGAAGAAATATTCAGTCAGCAGTCAAAGAAAATGTCCGATAACGACAGTGAAATCGCTGACTTAACCGAGGGAATGTATTATGGAGGTGGTGGCGATTGTCTCCACGTGTCTGAACGCAGCTCGAGGATCGCCTCGCCTATAGACGAACAGTCGAAGCAGCCTGGCCAGAATTTCGACGGCAAAGAGTTGGAATACGAGATGAATATGAAAGCTTTGCAACACGAATTACAGAACAAAATAATCGAGGTGCAGGAGTTGAAGCTGCACTACGAGAAGGCGTTGGAGGAGCAGAAAAATATGTACGAGAGGGAAGTGTACGACTGCAAAACGAGAGAAATACGCGAGGTGCTTAGCGATGTGGTGAGTCAGGTAAGTTGGATCGCAGATAGTCGTTCGTGTATTATTGTGCACTTTGTTTCATATTACTTTTGTGTTATACGTTGACTTTCATCATTTTCTTGCCCAGCCTCTTCTCTCTTCTCAGGAGCACACGTGTTATAATGAATTCTTTCGTTCACTTTGCTATATACAAACCGCATAAACCATTTGGAATGTTTTAATTTCAGTAGTATACGTTTCAGAGAGAACGCATGTCAGTATGTTTGGATGTAGAGCGTAGCTAATGTGTTTCAACTCTTTTCGTTTCCTTCGAAATTCGTTTCTCTATACGTTTAGAACGTGATCGCTAATCAAGTGAAGTCATAAACTATATTTCTAGAAACGTTGCCCTGTAAAGACTAAAAGTTATGTCAGGATCCCAGTTGTAACTAACATGCTATATTGTGTGACCACATGTTGTCCGTGTGCATGCAGCATTGTCAGACAGAATGGGACATGGAAAAAGGTGAATTAGCGCGACTCCGAGCGGCCTACGATCATCAATTGGAAGAACAGGTCGCGCGAGCTAAATCAGATATAGTGAATGCGCTTCAGGAACAAATCCAGGTAGCTTCAGTCTCTCTCACTATCACACACACACATATACACGTACGCGTCAGGCTCGCAGAAATTCACAACGAAATGCTGTCCATTCTCGGTCAATCGTTTACGCGTTCCTCTAAATTTAACCGACAGGCTCTGCTGAACGCCGAGTCGGACGTCGAAGAGAATTGGCCGGCGGAATTATTGGAGCTGCGCGATAAACTGACCAACAACGCGAGGATCGAGATACAGCTGCTGAAGGAGACCCACGACCAGCTGCGGATGACTATCTTGGAACTCCAGCGAAAATTGATGAACGCCGAGAGTAAAAAGGAAACAATTACCGAAGGCTACGGGGAGAATTACGATACCGGACCGGAAGTCACGCTGCAAGACTTTTCGCAGCTGCAGGAGAGAGGTACGAGGGAAGAGCCAAGCTCCCCGTGTTCTAAGAATATTATTTTTGCTCAGGTATTAATTTCTCTTTCAGCGAGACACGTTTTATCGAATGGAGGCGGTGATTGCGGCGATCTGCTGCAGCTGATTGAAGAACTGTGCAGGCAGAGCGATAAACTGATGGAAGAAGGGAAACGCGAGAAGGAGGATCTGCAGAAACAGGTAAAATTACTGTTTCATCCGAAGAATGCACTGGACTTGCATGTATTTCCATTACATAGACTCGATATGCTGTCTACGAAAATAGTTGTGGTGTATTGCGTATTCAAAACGAGTTCTGTAGTTTATTTATTTTAATGTTTTCTGTACCTACGAGCTTAGTCGTGCAGTGCACAAGATCTTTTGTTTTTGATTCGATACTCACGCATCGTTTTCATCAAGATTCAATGTCCCCTTTGAAAATTGATAGAAGGTGTGTAAAAAAAGACAAGTACGGCAGGTAAAATCATTTGGGTCTGTGATGCAGTTTTAAAAGGATTGATTGGCGTTCTGTTATCTTGCCAGCAGGTGCCTTTAGAACCTACTCCTACCCCATACATTCACAGGGTTCGCTGGCGAAAGGTAAATTATAGTACTACTAATTTTATTCTAAGAAATAAACAAATACAGCTCCTACGTAAGTAACGGCGAATCCGAATCGGCAACAGTAACAGTAACTTCTAGAACGATTAATCAAAGCATGCGCCTCCCCCGTTACACTCTCGCTTGCATGTGACTAATTTAAGCAAATTAACTGTTCCCTGTATTGTACTGTTAACCACCTGATATTAAACCGGTGACGCACGATTGGAAAGAGCTAATATATCTTCACGATTATTTCAGATCACTTTTCATTTTGATTTTGTCTCGCATAAAAGCATCATCCAATTGCCTGAAGATTTCTTTTACGATTGATTTCTCATAAGAATGATTTTTAACTCTCTTACGATTTGATATTTTATTTATGTTTCGCTTTTCCTAACGCGACCTCGTCTCGTTGATGTTAAACGAAGATAAATATGCGTAGATCGAGGCAGCGGATAAGCAATTGAAAGCGACGCGTAGATTCCTGGACGAGCAGGCGAGCGAGAGGGAAACCGAAAGGGATGAGGCCGCGAAACAGATTCAACACCTGCAAGATCAGCTGAAAGAACGCGAACGCGAGAAGGAACGTGACCAGCGAATCACGTCCGAGGTAATATAAACGATTAATTAATGAAGATACCTGGAGGCACGTAATTCAAAACATTTGCTTTTCAATAACTGTGGGTGTGGCTCGATTAATATAATTTAATGAGACTCGAATTTTTCGCAAGGAAAATCGTAAGGAACTTGGGAGGCAAACGCGATTTTCTTTAATTATTTTTACCGATCATCAGTTGGCTTAATTACAGATTAATCAGACAGCTTTTCACGCGTTATCACTAATCGTATTAACACGAGTTCTTTCGGCACTATGGTTTTGGTTTTTCTGTTTGTCGCACAAAGCAGCCTACACTATCACCCGAAGAGTCAGACGTCACCGGGTTTCGAGCATCCGAGATCAAAGCAGCAGTGAGTTCTTATTTGATCATGAGTATTAATTATGTTTCAGATATTTCACAGACACATCGTCATGATTTATTAAAATTAAACTGCATGCAAATTTCTAATCGCTTTGGAAACTGCTTTACACGTTAGTGATGCTTTTTAATGACTAATTACACTTGCAAGTGGAATAGATTGAATCAGTCGAATCTGTTACATCGTTTTACTATAAAAATCGATGGTGTAGGTGGAGATCCTCGAATCGCAGATGAAAGAAATGTCCTCTCTAATGTCGGACACGGAGGCGAAGAAGACGGAAACGGAGAGCGAGCTGAAAGCAGCTGTCGACAAGATTTGGGTGCTCAGAGAGATCATAACTGACTTAGAATACCAATTGCAAGCCAAGACTGAAAAGGAGGAGTCCTTAAAGATGCAGATTAGTCAATTGGAAACTGTGATCGCCGCGCAGACGAAGAATCAGCATGAGTTGGTCCAGGAGTTGGACGCTATCAAGATGGGCAGCGAGACCAAGCAACTGAGTGAACACATCAATCATCTACAGGTAAACTTATTTAAATAATACGTTTGTATTTCAACATATAAACTTAATGTATAATATTTAAATTGGGATATTTGATTTGTTTAAAAGGAGGAGCTGAGGAGACATAAGTTAAGCACGGAACAGTTTAACGTGAACTCCGCCGCGTTGAAGCAGATGAAATCCGAGCTCCGCGACATGCAGAATCAATTGGATAAGAGAATCAAGGATATGGAATCAACGCATATGTGCAGCTCTAATTTGAGCCTGAGCCACCCTAGCGAAGACATCTCTATCAGAGATCAGATAGAAGCCACGCGGTGTCCCACTCCGGACGACCCCACCGCGCCACCGATGTTGCCATTGGATCAGCTGCTTAAATTTAAAGAGAAGATGATGAAACACGCGCGAGTCGAAGAAGTGGCTTTGAAGAGGATCAAAGATCTCGAGTTGCAGGTCACTGCGTTGAAGAATCAGAACGAAGAGTTGCAAGCTGAGCAAGAAATCCTGCAGCAGACGGCTTCCGAGCAGCTGTTCCAGATCGAGGCGATGCGCGGCAGACTGGAACAACACAAGCAGAGCGCGCCGTTCGCGCAGAGGCAAGCCACGTCGCGTTTGGAGATACAGCTGCACGAAGCGAACACGAAGTTCCAGTCGTTAGAGCGAGCTATCGCCGAAAAGGAGTTAGAATTAAAGGACTCCAGGGATCAGTTAGATAGAGTGAACCAGTTGTTACAAGAAAAAGAAGCGGAGATAGCAAATGTGGTGCAGATGGAGGGCACGACGATTCAGAAGCTGAAACAACACGTCGAAGTTCTCGAAGAGGATAAGAAAATTCTCCTGACGAAGCTGGGTATCCAGGAACACGCACAATTGGAGCTACCACGATTGATAGACAGCATGTTGGCTGATAAAAATGAGGAGATTGATCATCTGAAGGAGCAGCTGTCCAAGAAAGAAAAGCAGCTCGATTTGTACTCCTCGTTGAACTTGGACGAATCGCAGCTGAGAGAATTAGCGCGGCAAACGGAGGCTAAGAATAGCGCCCGCACTTTGAGTGATATTTTGTCTATTCACTCGGAATGCGAAGAGACTGTGGAAGCTATTAGAGGATCGAACATGGCTCAGAATTTACCGAATATGTCTGACTTCAAGCTTCCCACGTTATTCGCTTCGAGCAAGAACATGGAAGAATCGGCTATGCCTTTGACGGATACCAGTAAAATGTGTCTTCAGGTTCCTCTTCTGGATCTCGGTTCTCAGACCATTTCTGAGACGAATCAACAGTCCGCAATTCAAGACGCGTTGCACAGTGGTTTGGACTTTAAGACGTCGTCGGAGAACAATATCTCAGTTGATAAAACTGATCACGCTCACTCTTGGCAGGAGAGTGAGAAATCTTCAGAAATTCAACGCGTCACTTCAAAGAAGTGCACTCAAACGTCTGTCGACGAAGGCTTGAGGGATATAGAAGACTTAGAGAACCGATTACAAACAATCCAAGAAGAATTGGCGATAAAATCGGCGATTCTAAATAAAAGAGAGGCAGATTTGAACGCTCTGCATAAACTGTACAATGAACTGCAAGCGGAGTTCAAAGAAGTGGTGGATACTCTTTCCAGGGACAAGTGTTTCTATCAGAATCAGTACGAAGTATCCCGAGCCTCGGAGAATAAGATAAAGAAAGATCTACTGGAAGTGGAGAACATTCTAAAATTGAGGAATGAGGAAATCGAGGATCACAGGGACAAGATGCAAATGAACGAGAAGATCCTGATGGAGTTGAAATCTGAGAACAATAGACTGAAAAAGGACGCTGAAGAGAAGGAACAGGAACAGATGAGGAAATACGCTAATCTGCTTCAAGAGAAGATGAAGGAGTTGCAGAACTTCAGAGACGCGATCCTGGAGAAGGACATCACCATTGAGACCATACAGACTCGAAACATCGAGATTGAAAACGAGAATAAACAACTGTACGAGTTTAAGACTAAATACCAGTCGACCGTGCAAGAATTGTTGGAGTGTCAGAACGAGATTCAGAGATTGACGGAGGGCTTGAACAACAGGGACCAGATAATTAGAAGATTGGAGGAAATGGCCAGGCGCAGCAGCTTCTCGGATACGTCTTCACCGTCCAATGAAAAGGACCAAGAAATTCACCACTTGCAGGAATATTTGAAGGAGAAGGACAAAGTGATACGACAGATGAGCGACGACAGCAAGAGTCTTCACAAAGCTTTAGAGACTATTCAAAATAAGATGAAGGAGTCCGGGAACGTGGTGGAGTTGAGGAAGAAGTTGAAGGATGAGAGGAAACTAAATACTGAACTGAGGAGCATGGTCGATACTCTCAGCAAGGAGGTGTCTGACTTGAAATTGACGACTCAGCGATCGCAGGATGACACCGACATCGAAGACATGGTGCAGAGAGAATTAAATCTGTCAGCTGATTTAGACAGACAGATTCTGAATGCTATAGAGTCTGACGCGGATGAGAAGATCGAAAAGCAGTCACCCTATCAAGAGCAAGAGCTGAGAATGAAGCTGAGCCAGGCTAATAAGATCAACGAGGAGTTGAAGAAAATTAAAGACGATCTAGAAATCGAGAGGGGTATGCTGAAGTGTCAGATAGCCGAATACGAGGGACGTATTTTCCAATTGAAATCAGATTTAACGGAGGAGTCCAAGAAACTAGCCAAATTGGATGAAGAATTGTCGTCTGAGAAGAACCTGGTGAGGACGTTGAAGATTCAAATCGAGAGGGAGCACAGGGCGATGCATTCCGGTCACGTGCAGGATTCAGAGCTGATCGAGTTTCTTCAGAGCAAACTGAAAACGTCGCTGGACAACGAAACGAAGCTCAGAAGCGATCTATCGCTTCTACGACAGGAGCACAAAGGCATGCAGATTCAGTTAAGCTTAATGAAAGAGCAAGTGGCACAATCGCAGAAGTATGATGAGCTACCGAAGTTAACAGATCTCTTAGAAGCTGAGAGGAATAGGCATCTTTCGTTGATGGAAAGCTTTGAAAAGATTGAAAGGGAAAATACAGAATTGAAGGACACGCTGAAGAAATTGCTGACAGAGAAGAATCGTTTGGAGAAGCAGCTCGAAATTGAGATGGAGGAGAAGGAGAAATTGTCAAGCAGCTTGACCTTGTCGGAGGAGCTCAAGGATCATATGCAAACCGATCTCAGGCGTACCAAAGAAGAACTAAAATTGAGGGAGGACGAATGTGAGTGGTTGCAAAAGAGAATAAAAACTATGTCTGACGCGGAGAGTAAAAGGCAGGAACAGAGGACTAGTGAACATAATGAGTTAAAGGCATTGAGAAGGGAAATCAATAATGCACGAGATGTGATGGTGATTATATAATCTATAAATTTCTAATAACATATATATATTTATTTAATTAATTAATTAATTTAATTAAATTTTAGATGGACCTGGAAGCCGATATGAAACAATCGAAGAGAGAATTAACCGAATCTATCGAGCGCGAAATGAAATTAACTGAGACTCTGGAAGCTATCAAAGAGAAGGAAAGCGAGCTTCAGAAGAAATTATCTTCCGCCAAAGAGGTGGAGAAAAAGTTGAAGGATACAATAGCCGAATTGCAGCAAGACTTGAAAGCTAGCACGAAGAAAGAGCAGGAGTTATGGAAGCAAATGAGAGGCGGACACTCCGACGAGAAGAACGTGCCACCAAAATTTTTACAAAAAATTGAAGTAAGTAATTTATAATATACTTTGTACCATGTTTTGAATATATTCTATTATAATTGCCGATTGATTTTACAGGATCTCAGCGAGTCCAATGAGAGATATATCACAGAGAAGAGTGTACTTCAAGAGAAGCTAATAAACGTGATGTCGGAGAAGGAGCAACTCAGCCAACGAATCAAATTACTCGAATCGCAGATAAAACGAAACAAAGTCTCCCGGGATCTTAACATCCCTCCAGACTATGTAGAAAAGGTAATTAGCTTCTTTGCTAATTTTTCTCATTTTATATTTCAACGATCGTTTGCTTGTAGTTACAACATTTCTATGGGAAATTCCTTCGAGCAGACAGCAGACGGAAGGCTCTAACTTACCAGAAACGTTATTTGTTAACTATAATCGGTGGTTATCAAATATCCGAAGAGAACACTATGTGTGTGCTCGCTCAGTTAACCAAAGTGGAACGAGCTTACGCTGTGATCGAACGTAACAAGAAATCGCCTAGGGTACGATTCAGATCCGTGGTTCACCTGCTGGTTAGTATCCAGAGAATGAAATGGTTGATAGTGAGATGGAATACTGGCAAACGAGTGGGTGCGAAAACTTTGCTTTGGAACGCGGATCACTCCTTCCTGCCAGTTCCAGAACCAGCGAATGTGAACCATTCACCACCAGTTCGAGAAAAATGTTCCCACAAGTAAGCAAACGAATAATTGTATTGCAATAGTTTTATATGATTTTTGGAATGAAATTCGTTAATCGTTTTTAGCGAGGACGGTGGGTTGGACGGTTTCGTGCTTCAACAGTATTACCAGCGGCTGAAGAATATCCAACAAACGTTGGGTTTGGCGATGTCAGAGGCTGGGAATCGTCAGATTATTCCAGAATAGTATTACGGTTCTTTAAGTTTTCTATGCGGTTGTGGACTGTGAGGTAACATCATGTCTATTCATTTTATTTTAACGTTGGGATTACCGTTTCCGTTTATCGAGACAACCGGAAGCGTTCGAAACTGGGCATTTCATTCTTGTTAAAATCTTTCGAGCCTCAGCCGTTATTTTTTCTACCGAGTGTATATAGGAGTATAGAATAGGAAATACCAGTTGTTGAACACGCGTTAAATCCCTGCACCAATTATAGATGACAATGTTTGTACTTATAAATTTCAATTGTGTTAATCTGCCGTTATTAATTTCTCTACAGATACTCTAATAGTATTTGCCCATTATTCGTTAGTACTATCGGTCACAGAAATTACTGACGTTGAAATTATATGCACAATACATTGTCGTCTAATACGATTATTTTTAAGAGTACTTTTAAGGGTTTCTAAAGGATCATATTGAAATGCTCGCGTGTCGTGTTTTACCAAAGTTACTGATAGAAATATTGTCCTCGAGCAGACTACGATGCTGACCTGTGCCTTGTATATTTCAATAAGTGTTTTAGTATTTATTTATTGATGATCTGTACGTTTTTATATTGTGAATAAAGGATAGAGCAACTTTTTATGAAAAATTAGTCGGCAGTGCGGTTCATCGTAATTATATATTTTAACAAAAAAGAAGTGTAACATCGTTGCCTCATATATCCTTCGATAAATACTGATCTGTACGGCTAGTCTTTTTCAAACGGTGCAATTTCCTTTTAAATAGAATACGTGTGTTTTAACAGCACTTCAGTTACGAGGGATTCTGGTCCGTTGGAAATATAACTAATTTTACGTTAACGAGGGAAACAATGCTAATTAACGACGTACGAAGACGGGTGGGGAGCAGGGAATCGCGTTCGTTCTCTATAGTTCCTCGACATTGAAAAGACTGAACGCAACGTTTGCTAAAAAGATATTTACATATTTACAGTGAAACGTGTGATAAAATATATAGCGATCATCTAGCTTTATAATTACGTATGTATCTAAAAGCTACAATTCGATTTTGTGAAACGTAGTCTAAGAAGGTAAGGCTTTTCTCTTATTCTCGAAGACGTAGTATTTAAACGGTGCAAATTTTTACTATCATTTACAGATTCCCGTAACAAAGCGAAGGAACCCGGTGGGATTCGTCGTAAGAAATTTTCAATACTTTCTTTTGCAGATTGGAACGTTTCAGACCTCGCTTAATCCCGATCGTTTGTTCACGTTCAAGCGAATTAACAACGGAGCAATGGAAAAATTCAGCCGCGTTTGTGAGCGGTACAGGCATCCTTAAAGTTGGTGGCGTTGAACGACGCAAAGTAATCGTCGTGTAACTGCCTGATGATCGTCTCGATCGGGCACAATTTCGAGTCCCTGCGCGTCTTTTCCGGTTGCTCGATGTAGCTGACGCTGTAGAAGTTCGCGTTCCTGCAGAAGGGAATCTTCTGCGTGAAGTCCTTGCCGTTGATCACCACGCGGAAGTAGAAGTCGCTCGCCACGTGGTTCTCGTTCTTCGGGTTTATTCGATAAACTTCGATTACGAAACGGGAAGCGTAATGCGGCATGGTCAGTCTGTCTGAGAAAATCCCGAGAGCAGTCGCGAGGTATTCCAACGTCTTGTCGTGCCCGGAGTACAGAACTATCTTCGGTTTCGCTTCGGACATGATACGTAGCATGTAAGAAACGATGCTTCGAAGCAATCCGTAGGCTCTCAGCAACCCATACTTCCTGCGACTGCTGCTCTTCGCCACTTGTTTCGATTCCCACTCAGTGTAGGCGAACAAGCCCGTCACGTGTTCGGTCTTCACACACAATCTCTGAGTGTCGAATTCCACACAGGGCACGGTAGCTCCGTGGCAGATGTACGTTAACAACGCGTCCTTCAAAGTGTTCGGATCAGTCGTCTGGACCTGGTCAGGCATCTCGAAGACCACGTTCGCAGCCTGGCGTATCAGCTCCCCCACTGCTGGATGGGACTTCAAATGATCCGACATCTCCTGCAAGAAGGGAACACAATTTTCCTTGTGCCAAAGAACGCAAGCGCTCGTTACCTTTAGGTGTTGTTTGAAGAACCTCTCGGCAGCAGGGCAGGCGCAGTCAGTGTTGCAAAACGCATAACTCTGGCTCTCCTGCATGGTGATCTTCGCCAGGTTCTGAAAGCTATCAGTCTCTAACAGAGCGTACAGCAACGCGACAGCACTTTGAACGGTTCTTCTGTATCTGGTGCTGTACACGACGATGTCCTTGCTTGATATGGTTCCATTGCCTAGGTTCAGTTTGTGGAAATAGGCGTTCCTGAGTATGGTACCGGTCTTCAACAGCTGGCCGACGCCTAACGTCGTCAGCTGCCCGATCCTGCAGTCTTTGGAGTTGCTGGGCAGCATCGGGAAACCGTGGAAGGGACCCAGGAACTGCGCCCATGCGGTCCTCGAGTAGCTGGAGACATTTTGCAGGAAGTTCACGTAGTTCTGATAGAGAGTTTCCAATTCGGGCATGGAATTGAAATCTCCGCCGCAGTTCACTATGCTTATGTTACGGATGTGAGCCAGTGGTCCTCTGTCTCCGTGCCTCACGAACACCAGAATTCCTCCCAAAGTTAAGTTCCCATCCAATTTACCTGATCGTAAACAGAAGTAATATAATCACCTGAAAATATGTATAAGAATATTTTATACCTTCTGTTTCGGCTGTAATTTCATTCGGAGGATTGCAGAAACGAAATATCTTTTTAGTTTTCACGTCGACCTTCAGATTTCTGGGAAATTCCCTGATCGGTATGTCGTTCCCCAGGACTCTCGTCTGCATGGAACTCTTTTCGTCCACGCCGATGTACTTGTACATTCCTGTCGAGGTGCGATAAAACACATGGTTGAAGAATCCGTACGAGAACATAAGCGTGTGAAACGATTTCGATCATAAGAGAGAGGGAAAGAGAGATCAAACGACAAAGGATTCTTCGAACGTGTTTACGTGCGCGGCTTACAGCGGGCGAACGAAGCCGATAACGTGAAATCGTGTATGCGCCGGCTAATCGCATTGTCGCGTGTGTTTACCGTCGAGCGCTTACGCTCTGATATCTGTAGGTACATCAAAGCTTTCGATCCATAATTATCCACGTTATTTTCAACGTGATAAAATATAAATAAAAGGAAAAAAACGTAGTATTGAACGATTCTTAGGTGAGATGAAGAAATAAAGAGGGAGGGATGCATGGGCGAGGCGCGATTACCAGCGACGAGCAGGAATATCCAGACGCTGAGGATCACGTAGCAGTAGAACGCCCGGTGTTGGTACGAAAGCCGCACCATTTCCGCCAACATCCTGCGGCCTCTGGACCCAGGTCCCGTTTAATCTTCCGTCACGACCCGGATATCGAACAGAAACACGACTTAACACTGCTCCAAGCCGCATCCTTCCTCTTCACTCCCGCATGATCCCAACCCGGTGGTTCCTCGACAATTCGAAGACGCCGCGGACGACGTCGAAAACTGATTTCCCAGCCCTCTCTTCGACCAGAATACTTTCGACGGCTGTCTACCCTCTGACATCTCTTCGACGATTGTAAATCACGTTGTTGGTCATTCGCCACCGGCAACAGCGTCGAACCTTTATCTGACCTGCCCGGACGTGAGCATCATCAACGTTGCTCAAGTCTCGCTTTTATTATCACGCTTGATAAGAGCCGATATCAGCGAGAAATGCATCCGTGCTCGATCCCCATCGCGACAGGTTAATAGCGAGCGCAGGCGCCACGAAAATCTCCGTCGCACCGAACTTCTTACTTCGTCCTAGACGATCCGATTTCGAAGTTGGAAAACCGAAAAGAAGATAATCGAGACAAGCTCCTCAAGAACCTCCGGTTTCTATTGATTCAAGCAGGATCTCCTCTTCTCCCTGTCAGGTCCCTTGTCAACCCTTCAGTTCTCATGCTTGCGATTTACATCTTTACAATCCGGAAGATCGAATTAAAGTATAAATAAGGGGAAGACGAAACGTCGAAGGCTTCATCGGAGCAACCACCACCACCACCACCACCACCACTCACGCACGCTAATGCTAGTCGACTCTTCTCAATGCTTGGAAGAGCTTTGATACCGGACAAAACAACGACCTTACTGAAACATTTTTCAGCATTCGACTACGGCACAGGTGAGTCGGGTTCCTTGCGACAGGAGTAGGTTACCGGAGCGCGCTTGCGTGCGTGCTATATCGCACGCCGGCACGATTGGCCTGGCCTCCAATGCTTTTAAATCCATTTCGATCCGCGGTCGGGAGAACCCACGACCACGACCGTGGCAGGTACTTGCTGCACCCTCGTTCGCAAGTCTTAGAACACGTTGCAAAACGAGACGTTCTAACAATGTCGACGGATGGATAATTTGTGATAACCAAAGAAACTCAACGCTTCTTTAGAACTAAATGTGTAGCCACGGATCAAACGGTTTGCTATTTATTCTTTTACTTTGGCTGCCGTTGCGGTTATCTATTTCCGATCTCTGCGCATTTGAATCCTCTTTCCTGGACGCGTTCCATTGATCCTATTAAATTAATTTCGATAAATTGTTACAAGAGGAAATACGAAATCTTGTTAGATATGAAAATTAGATATTGTATTCATACTTGCAATGGAAAATTAATATTGACAGAACTTACTAGCAACAGCAGAGTAAATAAAAATTGTTTCTTTCTCGTAATTCCTGACGGCCGTCCGAGCGTCTAGGCGGGGGCGTTGAATTGGTAAATCAGCCGGCAGACGACGTAGACGGGGCACGATTACACGGTTCCACGAGCTACGCAAGTAACTCGAGCTAACTGGCCTGATATGAGAGCCCGAGACGAACGATCAACTACAATCTAGCCATCAACCTTAAACGAAACATATTTACGGTCAGATGTAACGCCCGGCCCGCGCTATTTCGTTTCATCTGTTGAAGAGCACGCATACTTGCTCTTCGACTTCTACGTGACGCCAACATCCGTTTCCTTCCCTCGAACAGCTCGGAATGTTTACAGCTGGAGCAAAACAAATTGGAACATTCCTAAAGAACAAGCGGTTGAAAAACACGTTGCATGTTGCACCGGTGTAAGAATTTTATGAATTCCATTACAGAGAAGTAAGAGGCAGTGGTAGTAATCAATAGATGCATATTAATGAGCCGGATATAAGATGGGGTCAGTGTTTATTGTACGTTTATTCAGGTCTAGGATACAACAGGTAAAAAACTGGTGCCAGTCAGTGGCTAACCCGTAGAAAAAGCGAATGCTGATTGTCCTACTCCTTTTTTAATATACCAACCATTATTTCTTAGGTTATTTAGTAATAGTTGCGATCAGGGCGTCGAAGAATGTGATAATCGTCCATTATCATTGCTCTATTTGAAAAGAATTTAGGTTAGATCTAAACAATCTGGTTTAATAACAATCGGGATGGCGAAGGATGCGAGTGGGTAATAACTGTGATCCTTGACCGACCGTTTTACAGATCAAATCCAACGAGAGACTGAAAGCTGGTTAGTGACACACGTTCGCATAAGTAGAGCGCTGTTAAATACAATTAAATGCGGGGCGTTCCGCAACAGAGCAAGCGTAATCGTAGATCGCATCTCGCCGTCATCAGCGGTGGCAATGATCTTGCCAAGGCAGCAAGATCAACCACCACGATTCATAGTCTAGCATTGTGAAATTTAATCTCATCGGCCAAACGGCGATCAAATAATCAGGAGTTCGCTTAGCCACTTCGATCAATTCTATGATCGAACGCTCAGATTTTATGGAAATGTATCGAGATACAGAATAAGTCTACGTTTTTTTTTTTTAAGGCACGACATTCGCGTAAATTCTCTTTCGTAGGAACTTGAAGGATTTCGTTTCACAGTTACACAAAGCGTGGATTATTGCGTCAGACGCTCGATTATTTAGAACCGTCATTCAGATTGGAATCAGCGGACGTGCGCTTTTACCAGAATTAGTGAAACTTGGACGGGAACAAGACGAGATTAAAAGCAATTGTCGACGAATAACTATGTCAATCCTTGCGTCGTATAATCAGATTCCAAAGCGTCTTTAATATTTTAATTGACGTTGAACCGTCTAACATTTCTATTACAGAATAAATTGAGAACCGTCGTAATTCGTTGAAATGCAATTAAAATAATTATCTCTTCCTCTGAAGCGGAACGCGTGGACAGAAATGAGAAACCACCCAGCGAGAAATCTCGTGTCTGAGACACGTACACCATAATTCCTTTTTGATACCCATTTGTATTGTAAAGTTCGCACAAAGGTTTGTCCGTATCTTCAAAGAGGCATCGATTATCGATTCGGCGTGCCGAAAGCCTTCTTCTATCCTCGCAGAGGTTGAAACCGTGACAGAGCTCCTCCTATTCTTCCAGTTCGTAAAAATCGTGGCCTCTCTTCCTGGAATCGGTCCAGCTACCTGATCCAGGTATAGATCTTTCTCCGTGATACGACACCTGCCTTCTTGTGGAACACGCATTGTGTTGTTGCCCTCGAAACAGTTTATAGCACCTCCGATTCCATCATCTGTTTCCTCAGAAACACATTATGTACCTGTCCGAAAGTGACGGCTCAGATATGGTATAAATTCTGAGAAGTCCCATGCTGGGATTTAGAAAAATCGATGGAAATTTGTTTATATCAAATTGTATCTCAACTTCGTCACCAGATAGTTTCTACTAAATTTTAGTACGTGCACTCGGTGGTCGTTGGTCGTTTACATATCAGATTACAGAGAACGTTTCAAGCAGGAAATGTATGTCAACGATTAGGATTGTTTGAGTCAATGATTGTACCAAACAATAACTAGCTCTTATTAAAATTCAATAAATATCGTCGAAATTATGACAAGGTTTCACACGTTCATTGCATTAGCGTTCGCGTTACAATTATTAATAGTCTCCGTGTGCGCTTGAACGTTCGTCCATTCTAAACTTGAAACGGCGATTAGTCGTTAGTATATATCAGGAAGAAATTAATCTCTCCTCTTTCTTTGGCCGACCGGACCCGGTGAAACGAGCTTTAACGAGCGTTAATGAAACACGTGCACCGTTCGTTTGTCGCGCATCGCATGTAACATGCGACTCCGCTCATAATTTCTCTCGACTCTGCGCGTTACGTAAATTTGTACGTGCATACAGTGTCGCGCGGTTCCGGAAGCGAAGAAAATGCCTCGTTTCTATTTTCCACTCGGAGAAAGGTCATGGGTCTCGTAGTCCTACTCCGCCTACGCATAGACGTGCACTTGCTATTTAAGCTCGAATCCTGAAATCCAATCTTGTATCATTACTTTAGAGCGAATCAACATTGTAACATGTTTCAGTTTTAGAAAAGGTCAACAGCAGCGAATGCTTCAATTAATTTAATCTCAAACTGATAAGTCAATTCAATCTTAATGTCACTTTTCTCTAAATTACTTGTTCGAGGAATTGATCGGCTCTTAAAATTAATACATAACTTGTTTTAATTAGATTTAACGCTTGTTTTCAGCCACGCGAACGTTCGTTATCGCCGGCTGCGGGGTCAACTGTAATGACGACGTCAACAGGATTAGGAACTATGCAGAAGCTGTGTACATTAGTTTTATCGGTTTCCGCGCGGCAAAAGGTCAGGGAATTCACTTCCTAGTAAAAAGTAAGTTATCTCTCAGTGTGGACTTGGAACACATGTTAATCTTTTTGTCTCTCGTAAGCCGTGACTTATCTCTGTTTTAATAGTAACTCGGCCTATCTATCGGTTTTGCGCGTTGAATTTTCACCAGATAGATTTTACAAAGGAAACTCTTGTCCCATTCATTTTTATTACATTGAGCGTTTTTATGAAACCAGTTTAAAAATGAAATTCTTTCACTCTTCAAAAATAATTTTCTACACATTTAATTTCTGTATAAATGCATAAAATCCGCAGTCTAATGCTCGCCAGGAAGAAAGAAATCACAATTATTTCGTACGATTATTCTTATCACTCTTTATTGTAAATAGACTAATGTAACTGAAACTGCTATAACTTCGAAGGGGAGGGAATAAGATAAGCACGTCGATTAATCACTTCGAGTTAATCTCAGTTACAAAGTTGAACCGCTTTGATTTCGAGTGAATAGCAAGATCTGCCCACGCTCCTGTGTAAAGCTCTGGGAAGGAAGTATCAAACTAGATAAGCGTAGCAGCATTCATTACTTCCGTCTGACGGACGCTGCGTGTTACACACATCTCCCCGTTCATTAATTTTAGGACACCTCTGCTTATTGTTTATCCAACGTTCCAACAAATATTCTAAATTAGAAGAATTGCATAAAATCATTGAATAAATAGTCTCAGTGACCTATACGATAAATAAAAGATAGTTTCAGTAAACATTGTTCATTCAAACTGTTAAATAAATTATATCAATCAAGATGTTCTATTTTTGATCAATCAGTTTATATAATAATCTATTCGAATATTGGAAAGATAATTTACTTAGAAATTTTTATAGGAAGATTTCAAGAACGTATCTTTGATGAGTGCATCTGGATCATGATTCGCGAGGAAAGCGCAAGGAATCGGTGGAAATTGGTGGAAGTGGGGCGAAGCGAGTGGACTGCGGCTGGAGGAAAGTACGAACGAAGGCGCGTAGTAGCGACCGGCGGCGAGCGACGATCAGTTCGAAAGCAACGTTTCGCGACGAAGCAACGAACGAGCGAACGATCGCGTTTTTTATATACTCCTCTTCGTGCGATTGATCCGCGATGACACGACAGTGCCCGAGAACGTGCAGGTGAAACGAGAGCTTCAGAAGATATTTCATCTTTATCCGAGTTCCGGTATCTGTGATCTACGAAGATTCTGCGAAACTCGCACGTGGTCCAACTTTCAACGAACGGATTCTGACAACAAACAAGGTTTGCGATAAGAATTTAATTATTTACGACTCTCTTTTTTTTTCAACAGACTCAGAGAAACGTTCTTTTGCTCATTTATTGGGCTCAGACGATTTTTTCATACGTTTCTATTGCATCGCTCGGTTTACCGTACCGACGTTTCATTAAAAGATCTCGGATCCGTTGTGATAAGGTGCGAACTTTCTTGTAAAGTTATGATATAATCTGCACGCTCTGAGATCAGATTAAACGTTAATTAGAGGATAGGAATTAACTGGATCATCGCGATAGCGATTTCATTTCGGATCCCGTTAACAGAGAACGCGGGTTGCGTTTAAACAACAAAACCGCCGGGAGTATCCTGCACGATAATTGAACCTGTTCGCCCGATATCGAATGTAAACAGGAAGCTTCCTTATTGCGTCCAATTTCTCTTACGTCTCTCTCTCCCTGTGACGTAATCCGGTGATCTCTAAATTTTCTGAAATCCCTCACTTTCACAAAATTGCTTCATGCATCTATTTTACAGGCGCTCGTCCATCATAAATTGTCTACAATATTCTCACGGATCAAACGCTTTCTGACAGATTTATCATATAAAATGGTATGATATCCGAGAACTGTTCAATCGTCATCTTTGAAAGATTTTTCAAATGATATCTATCTACCGTTTCCCTATAGACGATGAGCGACCGAGCCGTGGTATCATCAAGTCAAGCTATTAGATTTAATGCAGTCGATTGTTCTTGTTACGCGTCCGAAGGTATGCAGCTGGATGTTGAATGTGCGTCGCGGCTAGGCGACGGGTCAATCAACCGCGGCGCACACGGCTGTTTATACCCCCTTTGGTACCCGTAACAAACTGTTGACCTCGGTCCGAGGGGAACTCGCGAATCATCGCATCAACGAGGGCTCTATTTTTATAGCGTTTGCTCAAACCCGTGCCGTTCCACTCGTCCCAAACGCCGATCTACATTCTACCTGAGAATATTTGTCCTTTCATGAAATCCATTGATAACAAGATCGTTGGATGATGTCGTTTAATTTAATGGCATGATGAAATCGTTTTGAAACCTGGATGATGTTACTTTATTCCCAATCGTCGACTCAGTCTCGTTTTCCCTGAAGGAAAGTGCGTTGCGTTGCGAACGTTTAATGGCGCGCAATGAACTATGAACAGTTTCATTTTTGCGCGAAACTTTGCTCTCCTTCCCACCGGTAATTTAGCTAGAAATCACATCGGACGATGTTCTCTCTTCTATTGTATATATTTAATAAAACGAAACAAATAAGGTGAGGAAAAACGTCGGGGAAGATTTTCAGAATTCTTCTAAATGATTTATACATTCTGAGTACTGCAATTCATAGTGTTATAAGCATATCGGATTTCTGTTCTCTGACTCGGATCGTTAATGACATAATCGTAGGTTTTTCAAAATAAGCGTCGGATTGATCGCTACTTTTATCGTTAGGCGATTCGAACAGGTGCGCGACTAAATGGCGCATAAATCTCGTTCGATCGTGTACTTAAATCACGAACAAAATCGTTAGAAAGTATACAGTCGCTCATTGTTCCACCTATTGATACTAAACGATTCGAACTTTCCAAGGAACTCGGCAATTCTCCAAACTGCCATTACTATGAGAAACAATTGTAATAATTATGACGTGTTTAGATCTAAATCCTGAGAAGATTGGTCAAATGATTGAACAGCAGGAAATGTGAACTAATTGCCCAGATGATTATTTTGCAGCCTGTTATCTTTTGGATTCTAGTTGCAAAAGACACGAAAACTGTCGTAATCGTCGCCACGGTTTACGCAACGACGACGTGACACACGTTAGCGGTTTCAGCTGGTAGCATAGCGCAGTTTACTTATTGTTCTTTATGGGAGATTCGATCGCTTGATAATCGGAGGCTCCGTCGCGCAAAGGGTGCAAAGCGAACGGCGATCGGGCGAGCGGTAATTGATTTCGCGCTTCGCATCCCCCTCCGGCCGATTAACTCGCATAAACAGCGTATAGTAAATAGAAAAAAGGTAACCGAACTTCCTGTCGCGCGAACTTTCTTTAAGGTTGCATGAGCCGTAAGATCTCTGCCAAAAGTTTAAGACATAAAAAGTTGTGTTCAATATTTGATGCAATGAACTTTTAGAAAAAATTATAATTAT